ACTTATTTACTTTGTATTAAGAGATTTGCCTCAATTGTTACAAATTTTATGTTAAGCTTATATAAATAGCCCCCTTGTAATGTTTGCGTTTATGACTTCTTTTGCTTTGTATTAAGACTTTTCCCTTATTTGTAACAAATATTATGTTAAGCTTGTTTAGAAAGCACTGTTCTAATCCTTTCGTTTATGACGTCTTTTCCTTTGTATTAAGACTTTTGCCTTTGTAACAAATTTGATGTTAAGCTTTTATAAATAGCCCACCTCTAATGTTTGCCTTTATGACTTCTTTTCATTTGTATTAAGAGTTTTCCTTATTTTTAACAAATTTTATGTTAAGCTTATATAAATAGCCCCCCTTGTAATGTTTTCGTTTATGAATTCTTTTGCTTTGTATTAAGACTTTTGCCTCAATTGTAACAAATTTTATGTTAAGCTTATATAAAAAGCCCACATGTCATGTATGCGTTTATGACTTCTTTTCCTTTCTATTGAGACTTTTGCCTTATTTTAAACAAATTTTATGTTAAGTTTATATAAATAGCCCGCCTTGTGATGTTTGCGTTTATGACTACTTTTGCTTTGTATTAAGAGTTTTGCCTCAGTAGTAACAAATTTTATGTTAAGCTTATACAAAAACCCCACTTGTAATGTTTGCGTTTATGACTTATTTACTTTGTATTAAGACTTTTGCCTTATTTGTAACAAATTTTATGTTAAACTTATATAAATAGCCCCCTTGTAATATTTGCGTTTATGACTTCTTTTGCTTTGTATTAAGACTTTTGCCTTCTTTGTAAAAAATTTTATGTTAAGCTTATATAAATATCCCCCCTCTTTGCGTTTATAAATTCTTTTGCTTTGTATTAAGACTTTTCCCTTATTTGTAACAAATTTTATGTTAAGCTTATATAACCCCACCATGTAATGTTTGCGTTTATGACTTATTTACTTTGTATTAAGAGATTTGCCTCAATTGTTACAAATTTTATGTTAAGCTTATATAAATAGCCCCCTTGTAATGTTTGCGTTTATGACTTCTTTTGCTTTGTATTAAGACTTTTGCCTCTGTTGTGAAAAATTTGATTGTAAGCTTATATAAAAATACCCTTTGTAATGTTTGCGTTTGTGACTTCTTTTACTTTGTATTAAGAGTTTTGCCTTATTTGAAACAAATTTTATGTTAAGCTTATATAATCCCACACCTTGTTATTTTTGCGTTTATGACTTCCTTTGCTTTGTATTAAGTGTTTTGCCTCAATTGTAACAAATTTTATGTTAAGTTTATATAAAAGCCCCTTTTAATGTTTGCGTTTATGACTTCTTTTGCTTTGTATTACGACTTTTGCCTTATTTGTAACAAATTTATGTTAAGCTTATATAAAATCTTTTCAGTTGTATTTCTCATAGAATTGTTGAGTAGGAACAATATATTTTGTTTTGTTGGTTTTGTCAGATTTGTCCACTTTTTATTTTGAAATTGATGTAATGTATATGCATACACCTGGGTTCCCCCTCACATTAATTTGATTGCCTGGTGTCAGCCATAAATACAGACTGATGTGGCGGTACATGGACTACCCCTATTGACGACGCCTATTTGTTACCCTATTGTTTTCGCTTATTGCCTACCCCTTATTGCCTACGACGAGCACCAGTCCATTACGGTTATCCGCTAGATTGTCCTACTCGCTTACAGTAGTCCAAAACCACTTTGCTACTTCGAACAAATATATCCCTTTCCGGGACATATCAGAAATATTTTACGAGCCTTTGAATGCGAAATAATTGGTCTACGGCTAATGCTGCAAAAACACGGAAGCAAATATATTGTGGATGGTCTACGGATCACAGCATTTTCTATACACTTCTGTTTTAGTAAATTGCTTCCTTTTTTAATTAAACTAGCATTTTTTAAAATCATAATTATGGTCTAACTCATTACGAGGAGCAACTAATGTAGTGTGTGTGTTCTCTTGTAAAAGATTTCTATTTTTAAGCGTTTCACTCCAAGCAAGGCAGGAGTGTCACTAGCATGCAGAGGGTTACGGTGAGTGAAATTGAGAGAAAAGAGTGAGTGTAAGAGAAACAGAGGAAAGGTTAAAAGGACAGAGATTAAAGCAACAGAAAATGGCTATTTAGGTTGCATATAAATTTTTGAAGATTGTAATCAGGGAAGCAAGTGAGAGGAAGGGAGTTCCAACGTTTGGAAGTACGCGGAAAGAAACTGTTGGAATAGAATTGACGGTTACATTTGACTATTTCAATAGTAAATCTTTTATTTAAATTCCTCGCGGTTTCACCGATGTATTCGCCGAGGCATTTATTACAGGAGTAAATTCGGTCCTGAGGTTTTAGCTGATTATTATTTTGTTTTGTATTAATTAAGTATAACATGGTTTTTGAATTAGTTGCAACAGAACTTATACAAAGCTGAGGTAAATTATTTTCACTTGTAGTTGTGCCAAATTTGGTGACTAGAATAATTTTAATTCGTTGTATTTGTTTCAGAATGGTCCATTCTTATATTTTGAAATATTTTGTTTCACGTTGAATATGAAATAATTAGGATACTGGAGGCCTATAAACGTATTTAAAAATTTAAATTTAAAATTTCAACGTCCCCTCTTCTTCATGAGCTTGTGTGTCCAGTCCAAAAAGAACGGAACGCGTCAAAACGAAAACGTTTTCCACTTTGTCATAGTCTTTCCCTAAAATACTTTGTGGGGAAAACTAATGTTCAAAATTATCGTTTATCTACTTAATAATATAAATACTCCTGTTTTAATCATTTCACCCCAGGCAAGTAAATAAAGCCATTAAGACGCAATGGATTATTGACTGAACATGAGAAATCTATTTAATAATTACATTTAATATTTAAATAATATATTATTGACCGCGAGCACATATCAAACGAAAATAATAACCAAAAAGCTTTTTTTTATTATTTAAGACTAAAGTAACTTCGTTACTTTTTTAATTATTATTTGTAATTAATCTAAAACTATCGTATAAAGCGTTTTTTATTCATTTCCCACAAGCAAGGCAATAAAGCCACTAAGACACGAGGGGGTTACTGGGTGTAAGAGGATATGAGAAAAAGAAAACAATATTAAAGCGAGAGAACAATAAAAGAACATGAATTGGGAAGATAGACGATAACGATTGACGTTGTGTTTAAACCTTTGAAAATGATCTTAAATCTGCACATAAGAAATTTACAAAGAGGTAATGTTTTCCTGGTTTCTGTAATGCGACCAGTGTTCCACTGCCGAGGTCAAGATGTAGATGATTTTCGAGGACTTCAGTTCGTATTTCTCGTATGAATGCATCCACTTCCTCTTCGCCCTTGCATGGAGTATTGCTGCCATATATGCTCTGGAGCCCCTTCTGCTTGCCTCGGTGTTCTTGATAGGCTCCAGAGGCGGATATGCAATATAATTGGCCCTGATCTGGCATCTCGTCTGCATTCACTTTCTCACAGACGCGCCGTCGCCTCTCTCTGTCTGTTTTACAAATACTTTCATGGCAATTGCTCCGATGAGCTGCATTCACTGGTTCCCAGAATTCATGAGTTCAAGCGCCCGACGAGGCTGGCATCCCGCTCTCACCCCTTCACTGTCGAAACTCCTAAATGTAGCCGTCTCTTCTACTCCAATAGCTTCACGTCTCGCACCTCCCGCCTGTGGAACTCCCTTCCCTATTCTAGTTTCCCTGAGAGCTATAATCTCCAGCTATTCAAATGTAATGTCAATCGACATTTCCAGTTGCCTTGATCTATCCACTACCCTTCTCCTCATCTTTTCTTCTATCTATCTTGCTCCAAATTTTCTGTAACTATCTGATCTTGCTCCAAATTTTCTGTAACCCCTTGCGTCCTAGTTGCTTCCCGCCTTGCTTGGGGGTGAAACGCTTAAAAAAATAATGCATAGTTCACTAACTTTGCTGGTACTTTATCAAGGTTTGCTGTTCTTTTGTTGTTGTTGTTGTTGTTGTTGCCATTGTTGTTGTTGTTGTTGCTGTTGATCATGTAAATAACTTGTCTTACCTCCCCATATGTAACATATCCCACAAGTACCATGTAACATATTCCACAAGTTTCTTGGATTGACCAATGAACCTAGATAGTGCTTGTGCTGCCAAAAAGGCAGTATAAATTATTCGGTGTTAGTACTGTCGAAAAGGCAGTATAAATGATTTTATTGTATGTTAAATAATGACTTAATAATCTCCGAGTATTTTAGGCTTAAATCCCGATTTATCTCTCTATATTTCTCAGATGAGGTATTATGTACATTATTTACCTGATTCGGACTATTGTCCTCATCGTAAAACGGCCGAAACGTTGAAATAAATATGGCGACAAGGATGAGGAGAATAGTCCGAATAAGGTAAATAATATATCAGTTTTGTGTTCATTTTGTTTAGTTATTTTTTCGTAACAGATTTAATGTTTAGTATAGAGCTTAGAAAAAATTCGCAGTGTGAGATAGGCAAGAAATAAGACATGTAGCAACATCAGCACGGCAAAGGGCACTCCTTTAAAGGCAAGGAAGGGCAAAAATATTTTAAGTCAAGTGATAGCGATTGCTGTATGAGTCGTACGATTTTTGAATCAAGCACGGGCAACGCCGGGCCATACAGTTAGTGTAAAATAAAAGAGTAATAGCAATTAGTTGCGTAATAGAAAAAAAAAAGCAAAATGGGATTTAACTGTTCCTGTTAAACTTCCCGAGAAAAATACTATGAAAAGTAGAAAATTAGGATGAAATTTTTCTGTGAAATTATTGTTTATCTCAAAGGGGCACCATGCCTAGATAATGTCCCTTTTCCCTACAAGGAACAAAATATTATGTTCAAAGCTCCCATCTCTGGCAAGTATGTATACTGAATTTTTCTTTTTTACTTCTATGTGAAATTGTTTGGCCATTTAATGTGAACAAGCAAACTCTACTACATGTTGTCTTACAGTTATTCTTTTCTTTTAATCTTTTGTTTAGTTCACATCAATTAGTTATTCTCGACATCTTGGAAAGAAAACATTCAGCCCCATCTTCAGTGCAGACATCTTGGTAAAAGGAAACAGAATAAGCCTAAAGAAAAATAAACATAAGTCACAAAAAGCTGGCAGACGAAGAGAAATTAAACGGACCAACCATGCTGAAGAAGAGCTACTTCCACCAACCAGGAAACATTGCGTATTCCTATGAAACCATTCCGGAACGGATACAGAAGCTAGCAGAAGAAAAACCTGACAAAATAGCCATGGTGATGTACCACAGCAAAGATGAACGATATGAAATCACCAGGTATGTTGGTTTCAATTTAAATGGTGCTAATGTGTGATTTCAAAAACCAGTGCTTACGTTTAATTCTCCAAACTAAATCTATAAATCCGTAGCCTGACACAGTTATTAACTTATTACTTTAACTGAAACTTTCACTATATAATGTTCGCGTGGATATGATACTAACCCGTTCAAAAATTTCTAAACTATATACTACCATTTTCCAGGTTAAAATATCTTCAAACGAATGCATCCTTTAGGTATTAAAGAAGAGAATCCTCAATCAGACTCTATAGACAAACGCTGCACAGTCTCAAAGAGCTTTACCTTATAACGAAAATACATTACTTAAAGACCTCCAATAGTAATTGTGGCCGCACTCTGGGGCCACAACAGATTCGCCGAACAAGCAATCGACCCACGTTTTGATTTGTTGTTTTTTTTAGTTTTGTTTCGTTTTTTAGACAATGTCAGAGTGTGCTCACAAAGGAATGAATTTGCGTAAAAAAATCACTCAGACGCCCCAAAGATAGCAATTGTCACTCTTTGATAAAAGAAGCTACTTTTATTTGTTCGACAGCAATTCCGAGGTGCGGGGATGCATGTGCCATTGAGGTTCGATGTAGCGAGCGACGGATGCTCTCTACAGCCTGGCAACACTCTCTGTACAACCAGGTGATTCCCCTTTCTGCTTCTGAGAAGTCTTCTCTTATATAAGTAGTCAAACTGTCTAAACAACAGCAAATTTGAACATTGCCCGATCAATGTGCAGATTTAAAAATTTAAATAAACAATAGGGTTCACTTCAGTTATTTATGCAAGTCTAGTTCAATTATGTAGGTGACCTAATTACTAAGAAATAAGTCTAAACACAATCAACCCTAGTGTCACACAACAACTAAAATGAATAGAACATGTAATTACAATGCTAAATAATTATATATTCCAGATGTTAGTATTCCACTCTACCTTAAGCAAAACGTTTGGAAGGAAACTTCCATCAGTACTAGAAAGAGCGATAACAATTAGTGCATTACACTAATTGTTATCGCTTTTTCTAGTATCTTTTATCTTTTTTCTTATCAACTCATGAAACGTAAGTTGTCTTGAACGGCCACACTTCTAGATCTTTTTGAATCCACGCAGATGTATCCCAGGGTTCTGCCCTTGGGTCTGCGTTGTTCGCAATTTCCATCACCGACCTTCCTGATGTCATCAGTTGTCAACTCCTTGCCTATTGTTTACCCAACTATTTACTCCTGTCTTAAGGGTAAGTCTGATCGGTTGATAAGGTATATTCGGAGCTGATCTAAAAAAAAATGGCCTACAATCCGTTGTTGAGGCAATTCATGTCTTCGTAATTCTAAAGCGTCGAAACGAAACTGCTATCTGTTATTCCTCTTAGAAAACCGTTTTGCCTTCCATCAGCATGGCTGATGCTAACCTCCAGGAGAGTGACCTAATGCATCTTCCCGCGCTAATGTTTTTTGCTGAATTGAAAGGGAAAGATTATATTGAATCAATTGCCAGATCTGCTGCTAGAAAAATTGATTCACTGTGTCGTGCTAGACCATTTTTCTCGCCAGAATCTATCTTACATATTTATAAGTCTACCATTTGTCCTTGCTTCGAATACTGTTGCCACATATGATCTGGTGTTCCTGCTATTTATAGATTCTTAATAAAATCCAAAGAAGAATCTGCAATGTTATTGGTCCTGACCTGGTATTTCGGCTTCAGTCGCTTTCCTACTTCCGTAATGTAGCTTCCCTATGCTATTTCTCTAAACGCTTTCATGGTATATGTTATGGTCCAAGTACCTTTTACCACGGTGATGGTCCAAGGTTAGAACCAATGAAAGAATAACACGAACACAGGTATGGAATACAAAGATATGTTACAACAGAAATATAATACAAAGAAGTAGAAGTATTAGTAATGACTATCAGATTTGGTTAGAGTGAACTATGTTGTCTCGACAAGTATCACTATTCCATTGTCCTTACAATATGTTTTCAATTATCTCTCCTCGTCTTACAACATCCTCATACCTCTTGAGAGGCGCAGTATTTATAATGTCAGGAATAGTCCATTATTATTATGGGTAAGTTCCCATAACAGTATATATTCTGATAAACTCTTCTCTCTGGTACCAAGTTTCTATGACTTTAAGCGCATTTTTAGGTTGGCGGCAAAATTTTATTATTTTACAGTCGAAATGGCTAAATGTAATTGTAAATTATTTGCTAACAATTTCCTTTTTCTCACTTCTCGCTCGTGGAAATCTCTTCCGGCTTTTGTCCTCAAAAATTTAAATGCGATGTCCTCTTAATTCATTTTATTGCATTTCTGTAGAGTTAGCTAAATTATATGCTTGTTCTGGGGGCACCTCGGCGTGGTGTAATGGTTAGCAAGCTTGTCTAGCTAGATCAGTTACAACTGAAAAGTGAGTTCGATCCTCACTAGATGCCCCATACTTTCGGCGCTGTGCCACATCTAAGCTACGCTTGGAAAATAACTATATGATAGTTTTGATGCTAGGTACCGTTGGTTCACCTAGACGTGCGGGACAATTTTCCTCCCCAACATCTATCTTAAGCATGTATAAGTCTACTCTTCATCAATGCAATGAATATTGTTGTCACATGTGCTTCGGGGCTTCTTCTATGTATTTAAAGATTCTTGATAAAATCCCAAAATTCTAGGTCCTGACCTGGCATCTCAGCTTCAGTCCCTTTCCTACTGTCGTAAGGTACATTCTCCTTGCCTTTTATTCAGTGTAACCCGGAAAAGAAGTCTCTTATATCCGGGTTTCTCTTATATCCGGGTTTGGTCTATTATATATACATTAACACAGGCTCTAATTTGGGACTAGATAAAATCTCTCTTATATCCGGGTTTCTCTTATATACGGGTTTGGTCTATTATATATACATTAACACAGGCTCTAATTTGGGACTAGATAAAATCTCTCTTATATCCGGGTTTCTCTTATATCCGGGTTTGGTCTATTATATATACATTAACACAGGCTCTAATTTGGGACTAGATAAAATCTCTCTTATATCCGGGTTTCTCTTATAGCCGGGTTTGGTCTATTATATATACATTAACATAGGCTCTAATTTGGGACTAGATAAAATCTCTCTTATATCCGGGTTTCTCTTATATCCGGGTTTGGTCTATTATATATACATTAACACAGGCTCTAATTTGGGACTAGAGAAAATCTCTCTTATATCCGGGTTTCTCTTATATACGGGTTTCTCTTATATCCGGGTCTTTTATATCCGGGTCTCTTATATCCGGGTTACACTGTATAGCTATTTTCACTGTATTTATTCTCACGAGCTTTCGACTTCGGTACCTTGACTTTACGGATTTGGGTGCAATACGTGATCGGAGGCAAGGTCTCATCACTTTACAACTGAAATTGCTAGATTTAACCGTAAGTTCTATGCTAACAGTTTCTTCTCTCGCACTTCTAGCTTGTGGAAATCTCTTCCAGCCTCTCGCTTTCAAGTCAACTTTGATCTTCAAAAATTTAAATGCAATATCAATCATTATATTTGTGTTTTAAATTCCTGATTTTTTTTTTTTTTTTACTGTTCGACCATCGTTTTCTTTTTCTTACATTCTTTCACACTCAGTAACCCCCGACCTCTGCGTCTTAAGAGCTATATTGCATTGCTTTGGGTGAAATGGATAATAAAAACAGAAGTTTCATCACTATTACGTAATGTCAGTCCTCGTGTGTGGCAGTGAATGCAGGACAATCGACTCACAAATGAAGAAGAGAATTGATACAACAGAAATTGATTTTACTCAAGGATTCTGGAAATACGATTAATAGAACATGCGAGCAACGACGAAGCTTTTGAGAAAATTAAAGCAAAAAGGACATTTAACATCAGGAAGAGAGTTGAACTTTCTAGGGCACATAATGAGGAAAGAGGGTATGAAAAATTTAACACTCACTGGACATAATGAAGTCAAGATGAACAGAGGAAAATAATGTAGAACTTACTTAGTGACCTTGCGTCATGGTTGACGGAACAAGTTTTAGGGATAACAACAAAAAGAAAATTTTGAAAACAAAAAAAATTATTATCAGTAATACATTCTGAAATAAATATCATCAGCAATATATTTTTGAAAAAAAAATTATTACCAGCAATTCATTTTGAAAAAAAATATTATCAGCAATATATTTTAAAAAATTATTACCAGCAAAACATTTTGGAAAAAAATTTTAGCAGCAATATATTAAAAAAATTTTAGCAGCAATATATTTTGAAAAAAATTTTAGCAGCAATATATTAAAAAAAATTATTACCAGCAAAACATTTTGAAAAAACAATTTTAGCAGCAATATATTAAAAAATATTATTGCCAGCAATTCATTTTGGAAAAAATTTTAGCAGCAATATATTAAAAAAAATTATTACCAGCAATTCATTTTGAAAAAAAATATTATCAGCAATATATTAAAAAAAATTATTACCAGCAATTCATTTTGAAAAAAAATATTATCAGCAAAACATTTAAAAAAATTATTACCAGCAATTCATTTTGAATAAAAATATTATCAGCAATATATTAAAAAAAATTATTGCCAGCAATTCATTTTGAAAAAAATTTTAGCAGCAATATATTAAAAAATATTATTACCAGCAATTCATTTGGGAAAAAATATTATCAGCAATCTATTAAAAAAAATTATTACCAGCAAAACATTTTTGAAAAAAGAAATATTACCAGCAATATATTTTGGAAAAAATATTACCAGCAATACATTTGACTCTTGACAATAAACCTCTTTAGAAAAATATGTCAATGAAACCTTATCTAGAAACTGATTTCTTACAAATACGTATTCTAATCATACGAACCTATTCTTAATATCCTTGTCAGCATTACATGGTCCATTAAGGTTGATATACCGTAAAACAAAATAAAGCAAACCTGTGCTGACTAGGCACATCACTAAACTCTGCTGATTGAACGAGAAAAGATCTATT